TTCAAATGAACCCATCATTTAGAAAGGAAACATGAATGAGTCTTTGTTCATTGAAAATAGAAGGTCTGAAGAACACAGTCTGGATTTGGTAAGCTACACAGTTTATCTAGGTTGCCTTGATTACATAGGGTCCCTTTCCTAGCTGGATAACCCCACTCTGTGAAAGTGGATGAGGTGGTAGAAGGGACTGATTTTAATGATTGTTTTTTTTTTCTGAAGGCTTCCCAGGCGTGGATGCTGCTATTCTGTGCTGCCTTTGCTGGTATAGAGAAGAAAAGGGAGTAGCCAAGAGAGGCACTAATGGGACAGTACCTGTGCACTGGCCACTTGGGCCAGTTTCTGAAGGACAAAACCACTCTGGCCAGTTGTCCACTGCCTGTGCTGACACATGCCCTGGGGAAAGGCAAGAAGGAGGCAGGAGGACCAGCCAGCACATGCATCCTCTAGCCATCTCTCTGTGTGGTCTGGCCCACAGCACAGAGTCTCAGATATCCTCTCCTCTCCCTGTAAGGAGCCATAAGAAGCTCCATTTATTCCATGACATTACTGACAGTGTGGCTTTTTTTCCCCCCTACTCCTGATAGAGAAAGCTGATATACTGTGTTCAAAGAAGCTAGGAGAAGGTAGGATAAGTATTAAAAGACACATGCTTTAGGGAAAAAAGACTGACCTCAGTTCAAATCCTAGTCCTGCTACTAATTATTGAAGAACTGAAAAGGTTACATCTTCTTTCCATGTCTCAGTTTTGGGACTGGTGTATAGGTCAGTGGTAGAGTGCCTGCTTGTCACACAGAAGGCCCTGGGTTCAGTCTCTACCACTGCCAAAAATGGAAGGGGGTTGTGTTCATGGCTCAAGTGGTAGAATCTTGCTTAGCAAATGCAAGGCCCTAAGTTCAAACCCAGTACCACCAAAAAACAAAAAAATAAGAACCTGTGTCTTAGGTTCCCCATCTGTAAAATAAGTTCACAATACCTTCTAGATAATGTTATATTGGAAATAATGAGTAGTTCACAAAATAATAGTCTTGGGTTACCATGGTGTATGATGTCTGTAATCCCAGCATTTGGGAGGCTGAGGCAGGGGATGGTAGTTTGAGGCCAGCCTGGGCTACATAGTGAGACCATGTCTCAAATAAAAAATTAGTCTCCATCCTCCCTCACCCAATAAGTATATACATTGGATATCCAGACCTACCAGCTCTAGTTCAAATAATATATTTATACTACTTTGTCATCAAGCCATAGGACCAAGCTTTGGTGCCTAGGAACATGGTGACCATGGGTATGGGGTTCTGAAGGAAGGGGCGGGAAGATGTGCTCTCTGCTACCCACTCTCCAGAGCCTACTAAAGTTTAGTGAACACTTCGTCTAGGAAGGGCCAGGATAGAGGAGCACTCAGAGCCCAGTGTGGAATTAATTGAGCCCTGGCCTTACTTCTCAGCCACCTTGGTTTCATCCTGGCCAGTTTCCCAGGTATCTGTGAAATACAAGTAGAAAAGACTTTATCCAGTTTTGGGGTTCATGGCCACAGCAGAAATCTGGCGCCTCTGGAGCTCCATGAACCCAGGGGCCTGAGAGGATCCAGAGGCACCCAGCCCCCTCTGCCTGTGGTAGCCCAGAGGCCATATTGGGCAGTATGGGAGGGAATCAGTCCAGTCCTGGTTTCTGCCTAAGAGCAGGATACTTCTCTCCCTCTCTCTCTCTCTCCCTCTCCTCCTGCCTTCTTTCCTCCCCTCTCCTTATCTTTCTCTTTTCTCCTCCTATCTCTGTCTTTTTGCCTCTTCCCCCTCCTTGATCCAAGAGTCCCTCTCTCTGCTCATATCCAAGCTGAAGCCAGTTGCATCTCTGGGTTAGAAAACACATTGGCATGGTGCCTGTGCCCTGTGATAGGACCACCAAATCAGAAGCCATCTCCAGACTTCCCCTGAAAGGGCCAAAGACACTGTACCCATTAGATTCAGACAAAATGCTCTGGTAACCATGGAAAAACAAGTATCCAACATCCCTGACCTTATACACAAGGGGCTATGGAACTTGGCTCTGCCATCTTGTGATCTCCTGATCTAGGAGCGAAGCTAGCATTTCCTTGGTGTGCATCCTCCAGCTGCACCAGACACTGGACTTTTGTGAAATGGATGAGCTTCTTATCTCTGTCCTGCAGGGGATGTGGTGGCAGTAGAGAGCATCTATCTAAGATCATTGCTCCTTCTAAGAAGGGGTGGAGTAAATGAGTAGGGTCAGCCTGCAGAGCATCCCGTTAGACTTCAACAAGATCCCTGCTTCAAACTAAGTGCTCATTCATTGCCCTGACTACTCCATGTGCACCTCACTACACTACCACTGCAGAGCTGGAGGAATGCACAGTCGGGTTGTCCCAGACACCCCATGGCCTTGACCCACGGGGGCGGTATCATGGGTTCAGTGAGTAGCACCAACACTGGCGAATCAATGAGCGAGAATGTACTGATTCAAATTGGTTTCCTTTTGAAAGGTGCACACACTATAAATGTTTCACTTGAGATCAGTAGGGGAGGTACAGAGAGGTAAACAAGAAGATAGAAGAAAAAAAAAATACCACCTGCATCCCCAGGAATCAAATAACCACATTGATGTCCTGTGTCTCAGACTTGAGATGCTCTTGCATATTTTCAGGCTTTTAAGAAAATTGTGACCATTTAATTTTATAGCCTGACCATTGACTTCAGCCTCATTGCACATCCTTCCCCAGCATTGCAAACTCTTCTTAATCACAGATGCACCTCAGTGGCTTTGAGGTATTTCTGTAAGGAATATAGCATTATTTACTTCACTCTTTTTGTTTTTGAAAACAACCCCATGTTGTCACTCATGCTGCTGTGATGACCATCTCAGGCCCACAGGTGAACCAAGAACCCTCAGCTTCTGGCATTTGGCAGGCTTTGGCTGAGTGGTAAAGAAAAGATACCTGGTCCCTGGTGTCAAGGAATTCACAATCTAATTTAGGAAACAGAAACATAGTCCTGGTCCAGGCATGGTGGTACATGCCTGAAATCCAAGCACTCAGGAGGCTGAGGCAGGAGGATCTTCAGTTTGAGGCCTGGGCTACATAGTGAGATCCTGTCTCCAAAACAAAACATAGCACTAGGTTATTTCTGAGTTCTTTTGTCCTTTCACATTAATAAAGTGACAACATACAATTGTGCTGTTGAACTAAAAAGGATTCTTTACAAAAAGCAGAACACAGGAAGGGTGTGTATGTTGACTACAACTGAACATGGTCTATATCTAGCTTGACCAAGAGAGACATGAATTGTTAGTCATAGTAACTGACACAGGGAGATTAAGTTCAAACAGGAAGTAGTTGATTTGAATTCGGGCTTTGCTTGGTTTCTAATAACTGACACCAACTGTACCTGTCCCCATCTGACTGAGATGCTGTGATGAGAGCTGATTATTTTTCATAAATGTACATTTAGGAAGAACCTATGCGTAAATCAGAGCCAGTGTTGGTGGCTGACTGTCTGAGCTGCAGTTCTGACTTTTATGGGCTATCCTCCCCTTGTTTCCATTCTTAACAGTTACTCTCACATTCAGGAAACACATTCCAAAAAAACTATGAAATTCATGAAAGTAGGAGATTCAAAGAGCGCGTCAGAAGCTGGGGGTGTAGCTCAGTGGCAGAGCATGTGTTCAGCCCTGTGTTCTACCCTGACCCCCTAAAAAAGAAATGCCATGACTGTAGGGGTTGCTGTTGCAGAGCAGAGGTGCGGTAAAACGGGAAACAGCCTGTTGGAAAGATGCTTTCAAACATTGGTGTCATGGGATCCCAGAATGAAGAGTGAATGTCAGAGAACCAACTCTTCCAAACCCAAGACTTAGAAAGGGTGGAGGAGTAGAACTTCCCTAGCACTGTGGCCGCCGTCTCAGCCGTGAGCAGGGCCGCATCTCAACAGTGTTCTCTCCTTTCAGATCGATGACCCCAACAGCAGCCTGGAGGAGGCAATGGATGAGGCTGAGGCCACCTCCGTGAGCAATCTGGGAAACCAGCAAGCCTTGAATGCAGACTACCTAGATTCTGATTACCAAAGAGGACAGCTGTACCCGTTCCCCCTGAACAGTGACCTCCAGGCACCCACATTCACTCTCACAAACTCAGCTCCCATGACCCAGTCCTTCCAGGAACGGTGGTACATGAATCTCAACAGCCTAATGGACCGGGCCTTGATCCCACAGTGTGGCAATGGGGACGACCTGTATATCATCACAGGTGCAGTGCCTTCAGACCACAGGGTTAAAGACAGGGTGTCCATCCCTGAGTTTGTTTGGCTGGCGGCGTGTTGTGCTGTCCCTGGAGGAGGCTGGGCCATGGGTTTCATCAAGCATACACGGGACAGTGACATCATAGAAGATGTGATGGTGAAAGACCTTGAGAAACTGCTTCCGTTCAAGCTGCAGCTGTTCCAGGACAACTGTGGGGAGACTGAGCAGGACACAGAGAAAATGAAAAAGATCCTGGAGGTGGTGAATCAAGTCCAGGACGAGGAGCGCATGGTGCAGTCTCAACAGAGTGCTGTACCCCTCTCCAGCACCACGAGCAAGAGGTCTGGCCCGTTGCCTCCAGAGGCATCTGAAGAAAGCAGTCGAAGCCTTTTGGGAAAACTCCTGGGTTTCATCGCTACCCCGGTCATCAAGCTTTTCCAGTTAACTTATTACCTTGTGGTGGCAATCCTGAAGAACGTTGCTTGTTTCCTGTGGTGTGTCACCAAGCAGGTGGTTAATGGTATCGAGAGCTGCCTTTACCGCCTGGGCTCGGCCACTGCCTCGTACTTTGTGGCCATTGGAGAAGAGTTGCTAAGCATCCCCTGGAAGGTGCTCAAAGTCCTGGCCAAAATCATCAGGGCCGTTCTGCGGATCCTCTGCTGCCTGCTGAAGGCTGTTTGCCGCCTTCTCAGCATTCCCGTCCGAGTTCTGGTGGACGTAGCTACGTTCCCCATGTACACCATGGGTGCGATTCCAATCGTGTGCAGGGACATTGCCATGGGCCTTGGTGGCACTGTCTCTCTGCTCTTTGACACTGCTTTTGGCACCATGGGTGGTCTATTTCAGGTTGTTTTTGGTGTCTTCAAGCGGATTGGCTACAAGGTTACCTTTGATAATTCCGGAGAGTTATAGACTCAACAAGCTAATGAGTCTCTTTTCACTCAGTTGTTTTGTTTTGGTCCTTGGTGGGGGTTTTTGCAAAGGAAGTTGACCCAAAAGAAATGCTCAGGGTGGGATTAGGTATAGTAATCTGCTGTGTGCCTCCAGTTATATGTGCAAGTTTCCACGCCACTAATAACTTCAGTTATTCACTCTGTTACAGAGTAAAGCACCTAAAACACCCTGGTGTTCCTTGTGACAACTAAAAATTACAAGGCAGGGAACAGTTGCAAAGAGGACAACTTAAAACCGAAGGAATTCTGAGAAAAGAAGAAAGGAGTCTTGTTCCTCCTGTTGTTTCTTGAGATTTAGGGCAAAGCAGACCCAAATATCATTGGTTGATTTCTTAGCCTTCGCTTCTCTTTGCTCCTTTGTGAAGTCTGGATGATGCTTCTCTGTTAAAATAACTTCCTTTTGGAGACAAAATGTGCTGTTTCTCTCAGCTTTCCATGGTTCTCAAGGCCCTGTTAGGTTTTAATTTTTTCCAAGTTTGAATTTTGTTGCAGTTTTCTTTTAGGTAAGCATTTTATGTCAAAAATGGCATAGCACTGTTTCAAAGCAACCTTGATCCAAATAAATACAGTCCTTTCAGATGTAAAGAAGGGAGTTCAAGGGTGACAGCCTGCTTTTAAGCAGGTGCTATAAATCCAAGGGCATCGTAGCCAAGATTGCATTAGCTTGACATATATTAAATCACTGGCTGACAAGATGGAACTCAAAGATCTGTATGTTCAGCTAACATGAAAATTCATATTCTCGTCACAGCAGTTTTTAATGTATCAAGTAAGTGCCCAATCCAGTAACACACTCCAGCTTCTGTCCTTAAACAGTTGTCTGATATAAGTATATAGGAAAGGCAAAGTAAAAATATATATTCTGTCCATCTTGGGAAAAATGTATGTATATAAATACTTACAAGTCATTATCTCTTGGAAATTATTTTATAGCGTATTTGGGGCTAGAGCACATAACTCTCCCTTAATGCAAGTTAAATTTGAGAGCTTATCCCCAGTTTTTGATCAAGTACTTGTCATTTTAAATCTTGCACTAAAAATGAGAATAGGAGGAACCAAAGTTTGCTTTCGTTCCACAGCTGTAATGGAATTATCTGGATGTTTTTAGAGTGTCCTAAAGAGTTGCTATAAAGTAGAAAAGGCCCAGGTATAAAATACTGATCTTGAGAGCATAGTCCATGATTAAGTAAAAACTTAGTTGCACAAACTGGGAGTCCAGAAAGGCCACAGAGAGAACAATGTGCCAACCACTTGCAGGATGTGGTGGGAGAGAAATGTGAGTATAGCAGGAGTTAGATTTTACAGACGAAAAATCGGATTGCACCAGAGTGGAAGAGCAGCCAGCAAGCTGCCATCCTGATCACTTTGTGACGCACAGTTGGGAGCGTGGGCACCAGACCGGTCCATGCTAGGGACAGGGCCCTGCGTATCCCCAAGAATCCTAAGCAGTATTTGGCAACACTTTTTGTGTGGGTCAGGGGAGGGGTGAGGCTTGCCTTGGTATTGGTGAGTTAAGAATCGTACTGGATGAAGTGGCCAGAAAGACAGTCTGGACAAACCCTCATTTGATAAGGGACAGGAGGCCACAGCTCAGGAACCACGGTCACCCATCACACCTGGATGACACATGCAGGAATGCGAGCTACTCTCTAGCCAGCTGTCTTCCTGGTCATAAGAAGGGTCTTCTCCCCCATCAGCGGTCAGGCCTTGAGCCCAAGTGCCATGGTATAATAAGCACGTCCGACGTCGTGCCTACTGCATCTCAGTGTCCCGTGTTCCGTCATGGGACAGTTGGCATTCTGAACGGCCCCAAGAGGGCACCCTCAGCGGCCTGTGCCTCTCAGCGTCATCCAGGGAACAGAGCGTCTGAACTGCTTCTTCAGAACCATGTGGAAGTGTCTTCTTTTTCATATCTGGCTGTTGAGTGTCTGTCTTTGTGTGGCTTTATTGAAATCTTGGAAGGGATAATAAGGCAAAACCTACCTTAAGCCTTGGTGGCTGAGAACCTCCTGTCTGGACCTCCTCACTGGAACTGTCTGCCTTGGGCTGCAAGTCCCATGGATCACTGCACTGTTGGCTGATTTTAAATGGGCTGCTTGGGGCTTGGAGGTGGGAGTTTGGGTTGATGAGCTCCATCTCTGGCTTAAAGATTTTGCTGTGGCTTCATCATGTCCCCAGGCCCTTTGGGGAAGTCAGCCAACTCTCATCATTTATGGAGCTGTCTTTTCAATCTGTGATGCAGCCACGCCTTTGGACACTCTCTCTTCCCTGTGCCTTTTGAGTGTTGCCTCTTACTTAGCTTCAGCACGTCCACCTGGATGCAAACTAGAAAGTTGGGAGTAGCCAGAACAGAGCAGTCAACATTCCTCAGTCATTCATTTATTTAACAAACATGTTTGGTCATCAAGATTGCAGAGATGAATAGCCCATCTGTAAAGAGTTCAAAATATGTGTAACAAGTACAATTGAACTTGCAATAATCATGGTAAGCACTGCATTGAGCGGGCCAGCTGTGTGCTTCCTGGAGCACAGGAGAAAAACCACACAATCAAGGAAATTAGGGAAGACTTTGCAGAGGGTGTGGCAGAAGTAATTTGACATTTTCAAGCTATGTACAGTGCTGTGCCCTTAGTGATGCTCAATAAAGTAATTATTGACAACTCACTAGCAGTTCTATAAAATACCATCCGAGTGGTTGAAATGAACTGTGGGGATTACCTGTGACTTTTGTGTTATTTTTTCCAGCGTGAAATCCAGGGTCTTGCTAGGCAAGCTCTGCCACTGAGCTCCCCGCCTCCCCCCGCCACCCCTTCATGTTTATTTTTTATTCACATTAACACACGTGATTCCCAGTCACATCTGGCTTTTGTTCACTGTAAAATTCTTCTGAGTCGTACATGAGATCATGTAAGTTTAAAACAGGGCTTAGAGCTACTTTTCTAAGTTACCTATGTGCTTCATAAAGAAGGATAAAGGTTTAATGCTGTACTGACTCGAAGTCATCTAGAAAATTATAGAAACACTCTGATTTATTTGTTTGCCATCATGAAACTCCCACAGTGTGAGAAAGAACAAGTGGCCTCTGTTGGTCTTTGTGGCCTGTAGTAAGTAAGGTGCCCCTCAGGGTGGAGATGACAGCCGTTCTCATCACGTGCCCAGTGTGGACAGGTGTTGTGTGTGAACCATGTGTTGTTCAGCATTTGCCTCAGCTTGGCACACAGTGCGTGACCCCCAACATTTCACCAGAAGCAAGCTGTAGAACTGCTGGCTCTCAGGAGTGAGTTCTCAGACTTCTCACTGGCTCTTCCCATAGGCAGCCTCAGATCACAGTTCAATTTCTAGCGTCTACACTGCAAAACAATTCTTTTTCACAAATCCCAACTTGGCTTTTGGTCTTTATTTTCAATTCTAGAATTGGGCAGCACCTAATTCTATAAAATAGTGTTTTTGATGAACTGAGTAGAGAAGGTTGGTTTTATAGGCAGAAGAGGACCAAGGCAAGCAGAAACAAAGAACCAAAAGCCAACTGGTCTTATCAAAGTCCTTCCTTGTGTTAAACAAAAACCACTATTTTGGAACAAGCTCCTGCACAGCAGACTAGAATCAAAAGAAGTCACTCACTCTGAAGACCCGCCCCCAGTCCGAGCGTGAGAAATCAGGAAAACAGCCCAGTATCAGCTGGCATGCCAGCTTGGGGGCTGGCTGTTTTCTCATTCTCAGTTTCTGCGAAGGGCAGATGGTGTGACCTCAGATGGTGTCATGGACCTTCAGTGCCAGTGCTTCCACAGTGGTCTGGTCAATCTTGTTCAACAGGGCAGACACATTCCCACAGATAAAGTCTCCCAAAAGTCTTTCATGGTGTCCCTGACCTCCTCTGCAGTCCCCTTGGTTCTTCCTGCCCTCTTGCAACCTGTGCGAGCTCTTGTTCTAGAAACCTAACTGGGAGTGACAGATGGTGAAGAAAGGACAAAAGACAGAAGACAAACATGCAGAAAGCTGGGGTCAGGTGGACACAACAGCCAGAGCAATCTTTCTAAAACAAGCTCAGGCCCTTTAGGGGCCTGTGGTTCAAACTTTATGTGACTTACAGAACCTTTGGTGGCCTCACCACACCTACCCTCCTTCAGTTGTGCATCCTCTGATACTTCAGGGCCTTTGTATGTGAAGTCTTCTTTGTCTGAACTATCTGCCTTTCACTTTGTTAATTCTCAATCCCCATGAATTTTCTTTGTTACCATTCCTCTCCCACCATCTGGTTCCAGTGACAGAAGATGCAGAAAGGTAGGGCTAGGTGGGCTTACGTACTCTGATGGACACACAACAGCCATACCACCCACCTCCAGCGAGTTTATTATGGACAGTGGCAAACAAGGTGGAGCAACAGTTCCAGGCCATGACAGGGGAGGGGGATGTGACACTGTAGTTTTCAGGAAATAGGAGGAACCTGCAATCGCTACTCTCTGAACATGAACATCTTAGGAAAAGCAGCCATGCTGCCTTTTGCCCTTGCCCCCTTCTGCAGCTAGAGCCATGCCAACTCAGCCTGCAGATTACTGATCATCGCTGTGCTTATGCCAAGTTCTCATAGGTTTCTCAACTCTGCTTTCCACACTGCCCTGCTCAGATGGCCACCTGGGGGGACACAAATGCAAAGATGTTTATAATGAGCAAATGAGACAATTTGCTTTGTAAACCATAAAGTAACATGAAAATATGAAGTTTCATTATTATAGGAGATGCCAGAGGGGTCCTATTTCTCTAAAAATTGGTGCCTAGTTCATTTTCTAAAAGGTGAGTAGAGATTTATCCAGAAAACCAGCCACTTAGCTAAAGCTTGTGCTTAACAGTAAATGTTGAACATTATGCTTTGAGAAGGCATTGAATTTAAGGTCTTAGAATTCAGCCTCATCCATCCTCAAGTTCTCCTGCCTTAAAACCCAGTAATTCTTTCAGCAGTAGAAGGCCCCACCTGCCCAGGCCCATTTGCTTCTTTTCTGTGCGAGTCAGCGGAATATTAGGTGTTGAAATGAAAGATACCACGAGTCATAAATTATATGAGTACAGGGAAACAAGTGCCAGTGAGTGGAAAGTCACAAGGGAGTCTCAGAACTGGCAGAAGCCACCGGGCTCCCCGGCAGCCTGCAAATGAAGGCCAGCCCAGGCCCGTCACCAAGAATGTCAGACAGCAGCTCCTGGGATTACGCTTCTGGAGGTCATAGTGTGTTTTGCCCTGAGATATTTGCTGATTATACATACCCAGGTTTATCCTGTTCACTGCATCCAGGATTAAACTTCAGTGGTTGGTGGGCTGGTGGAAGGGGAAGGTGCTTGGGGAACACGGCAGAACTGGCTGCCCTTCCTGTGAGTTACTGCACCTTTGCTAGAGATCACCATTGGTGTATTTGCAAAACAAGAAGGGAAGACCTGCTGGGTGTGGTGGCACAGGGCTGTAATCCCAGCAATCAGGAGGCAGAGGCCGGAGGATCATGGGTTCAAGGTCAGCCTGGGTTAAATACCAAGATCTTGTCTGAGAGACAAAGAGAGGGGAAGAAGGAGAAGAGAGAGAGGGAGAAGATCAAATAAGACCATCTCTAGGGCCTTGACAAATTGTAGGTAGTTAACCCTTCAACAAGCCCTTTCATATCACTGGGCTCAGAGGAGATTCTGCTCAGGTTTTATCAATTCTTTCTGAGCATTACCAGTGTCCCTTGGGACACTATCAGGAAGGACATGACTGACCAGTCATGAAAACAACACCATCATCATCATTGTCATCAGCATTTCTTCTTCCCAGACTTGCACAATTAATTAGCAGGGGTACAGTGCATTTAACATGAGGGCATTTAAGAAATTCCAGTAAAGCTACTTGCTTCTAAATAACTCCCCCAGCAGCCTACTGTGTTGCCAGAAATCTCCCCACTTGGCACTCATCCTGTAAGCTGTGAAAACAAGTCTTCTAAGGATAGTTAACAAACACATTGTGTCAATACTAGCAAGTTAAATGATCTTAGGAAATCCTACCCAGTAGCTGGGAGCAACTCCTACACGAGTAAATGCTTTGATAAGTAAGAGGTGTGTTGGGAACACCATATCGGGAATCAGAAGGTACCTGTCTTAGACTAGCATCCCATGAGCCATGAGTCTTACTCAAAAAAGACATTTATTAAGGGGGATGTGAACACGGTGAGAGGCCTTCTGAGAACTTAGAAATAGGGGCAGTAAATTGCTCACTAAATGTCTAACAAAAGACAACCCCATGACAGATACACCTGAAGAAACAAGGCGGGTACAATATTCCCACCATGCCATTAGGCTGCCAACGGGTCATTACGAAAAACAGGGGGCAGCTGTGTGCTGTACGAATGCTCTCGGCCAGTGGGAGTTGCTTGGTTGGGGGCTGGCTTCTCTATCCACTGCTTCATAATCCAATCGTGTGCATTAAGAATATAGATTTCCAACTGAAATGTCCAACGGAAGGAGTTGAAAAGCCATAGAACAGGAGAGAAAGGAAAATCCTGAGAGGGACACTGGCCACGACCATACAAGTGCCATGCAGGAAGCAGCAAGTCTTGGCAATTTACTTTGAATATTTTCAAACCAAAGTCGCCATTCCCTGCCCTGTAGAAAGCTGTTAGCATAATGCCCTAAGACCACAATTTATCCACCACCTCTTTTTTAGTCTGTTCCAACCATGACCTGGCTTCCTCTGCAGGTTTGCCCTCCAGGAGTGAGCACATAAACCACAGCAGTTTCAGACCTCATTGACTTTGCTTTATCACAGCAAGATTGGACAAAGTGGATTTTGACTGTGTTTCAACTTCCTGCATAGCATGACATGATGCACTGGAGATGCTAATTGAAGTGGTCCAGTCTATATATCCGTTCTATTTTGCAATCTAAATTAATAAAATATATCTATTGGGTTGTCCTAATCTCTCATGTGTTCCAGTGTGAATTCATTTCTCAGAGAGCCTCATTTCTTCTGGAAGTTCTTCAGAACCCACCTCTGAATTTTCAAATCTGGAAATTTTGGTATTGTGGTATCTGAATGAACACAGAGAATTTTACACAGCTTTGGCTGACTTTTTCTGAAATACTGCGGTCACATTTCCATCCTTCGACTCAGGACATAGTTTTTAGCTCTGTAACCTCTACACAGGATCCAGATGTCACAGTGATGTGTTGGATTAAGCCTCTGCTGCCACTGTACTTGAAGATTACTTTGGATGCAACAGAAACCCCCCTCAGGCTAGTCTAGTTCTACACGTGCTGGATCTGATAATAAGTGCTTAGAAAGGGCCTGCTGATATCAGGGTAACAAATGAGGACAGACCTCGCTCCTAGAGGAGGTGGGCTTCATCCAGCGTGGCACATGGTTGCAGGCAGTTGTGGATATTCACCCTTAGGATCTCATAGCCAGAAAAGAAAGGAAGCTTCCTTGTTAGTTCTGGCCAGGAAATCCCCAGGAATTCTCTTTTGTTTCCCTTTTCCCCAGTTGGGCACATGTCATCCATGGGTCAGTCACCGTATTCAGAAAGGTGAAATAAGACAATTGGCATAGACTGGGTTACAGATGTACCATGAAAACTGGACCAGTGTTTCTACGAGGCCACAGTCAGCTAGAGTTGTGTACTCAGGGCAGACACTCCACAGTGTGTCACAGTTCCCATCACAT